TGCCGTCCCGCAGGACAAGGCGGCACAGCCCCAGGGCGGCCCAGCAGCCGCTGCTGCCCCTCGGCCCTGGCGGGACAGCCAGGCGCCCTTCGCCGGGGCGGCTTTTGCCGAGAGAAGGCACGAACCCCCGGGTCCCCTGGGACTGCCACGCGGACCTGCTCACTGCCACCCGGCGCCCGGGCGGACGCTGCAGAGACACCAGGTTCCTCCAGAGAAGCAGCGACATGGGTTCTGTGTGACATCACCCGTCTTTCAACATTGGCTGCACTGTTTCTTAAACAGCCCTCGGGCCAAACAAAACACGTGTGTCAGTCGGGTTCAGCCCAAGGGACACTGGTCTGGATCCTGCAGAGACCAAGGGCCTCCTCTTTAGGGAAGAAAAGCCCGTTTTCATCACGACGCCCGATGAGAACACGGAAGGCAGAGCTTCCCCGCTCCACAGCCCCTCATTACACAGCTCGCCGGGCCGAAAACAGCGGCCCCCCCATTTGAAATCTCAGGGCCGAGCGGGGACGCGCTGGCACGGAGGCCCCCGCACCCGCCAACTTCGGGGCGTCACTGCTCCTGTCACCAGTGCCCAGCGTCGCCGGGGTGGACGCTTCCCCCGCATTCACCCAGCTGCCCGGCCCGCCAGCAGCCATGGTTCTTGAAGAATTCATCCCTGTTAAAATTCAATTTCTGGTTCTTACTGGAAAAAAAAATGTGAATAAATACACACACACACACACACACTGCTAATACTTTGACTTCCGAAGAGATAAACAAGTGGTAACCTTTTGATAGGAATGGATTCACGTGAAAATGAAAGAAAAACTTTTCCAGGAAATAAATTTATAAAAATGGAACGCAGAATACGCTTCCTCTCTGCGTTTTTGCTCTCTCAGCACAGTGGTAAGGTAAGCAGGTCATTTTTTATCCACAATACATAAAATCTCAATTAGTTATGGTCTATTTGTGCACTGACTAAAAACATTCGTTAACAAAACAGAATTTTCTAGTTTACTGGATAAATATACCAGCAGAAATTGCAGAATGATGTTAGGTTGCCAGGCAACCACGGTTCTGTCCCGGCTGCGATCAATCCAGCTCATTCATCAGGCTTCTCGCCCCAGTGCCGGAGAATTCCAACCAATTTGTTTCTTGGGGAAATTATAGTGACTTTCGGTAGCACAATAACACTTTTATTCTCAGAAGATAAACTTGGATGTTCGTTTCATCAAAGGGATCTGTTAATTCATTATTCTCTGCACGGTGCTAATGAGAGAGCTATAATTAACTAACTACTCTATTGCGATGCACAGAAAATAAACTGCAGTAATTAGTAGCGTTTAAGGTGTGGACCGGCCCACAAAGCTAGAAAACACAGAATCTTGCCTCCAATAAAGACCCGGAGAAAGGAGAAAGCAGCCTATCTAATTAGCTGAGAACTGCTTCCTTCCTCCCCCGCCCCCACCCTCCCGAGAGGGTGGGCGCAGCGCCTGCCAAACTCGAGCGAGGAAAGGGCCGGCGCCAACTCTCCTCGCAGGTCCATCCGCGACGCTGGTGGAGGCGGGACCTGCATGGGGAAGGGTGCTTCGCGCTGCGCCGTTAACGAGTAGGAAGAACACCGCGCTTCCCCCTTGAGCTGTGTGAGCGCAGACATTGTATGTAAATCACCATGACAATTGCATTCTCTTCAGACTGAATTAGTTAGAATGAAGCTGTAATCAAAATGTTCATCATGGGGAAGTAGGGTCCTCGGTTGTTCTCCGTCTGCACTTGAAACAAGAACGAGGCGCCCGGTGAGGTCAGGCAACAGGAAGCATCGTGGGAGGGAGCCTTGGCGCCCAGTCTGCCTGGGGCGCTGGACCTCGCCACGGCCTGTCGGGGTCCCCCCACCCCGGAACTTTCTGCTGCCTCCCTCCATCCTCGGCCTCGCTCATCAGCTCTCCGTGCCACAGCCGCTCGGACATTTGGGAAAACACAGAACAGGGAAAGGCTCAGTTTTTGTCTCGGAAACACGCTCCGCTCTGCAGCACTGCTGGTGGTTGTAGATCAGAGGCTAAAACAACCCCCAGCAAGTGAGACTCCAGCTGCTGGCGCCGCTGGCCGGCAACGTGCAAAGGCCCCGTGCGGTCAGGCGAGCTGTCCCGCAAGGCCCTCAGGGCACCTCTCCTAGGGGACAGAGGCGCCGGGATGGAGGGGGCATCCTGACCAGGAAGCCAAGCTCCACAGCCAACTCGACGCTGTGCGTTGCCGCCCCGGGGCTTCGCGGCGCGCGGTCCTTCAAACTGGAGCCACGTCCCCTTTCTGTCTCTGTTTTCCTCCATGAGATAAACTCGTTAGGACCTTAAATCGGCCTTGATCGTTACGTTTACTTAATTCTTCATGAAAATAAGTCAGCCTAATTTTTTTCAAGAGAGTAATCGCAGGTCTCACCACTTCCTGTCTTCAAAGGCTAAGCTGTGAAGTCAACCTTCTGTCCAGCAAACGCCAGCCGAGGCGAGGCCTCCACACCACGCCCGAGCGGTGGGCGCCGATGAGGAGACACCTGCCTGGCCTTACTTGCTGCAGAGCTGACACGCGCCTGCATTTTTATAGGTGGTTTTTAAAAATAAATCATTTAAAAACCAGTTATTTCAGTGGGTGAATTAACTCGAAGGTCACACTTGTGCCCGGTGCCCGTCCGTCCCGCCAGACTTGCAGCTGCGTCTGTGGCTGTCGCCAGGTGAGCCGGGCCCCTCCACAACCGTGAGGCGGCGCCGAGGAAATCCCATCATCGCAGGGGGAGCCCGGAACAGCCCGCGTGTTTATCCGTCGCCAGGGCCCTGCGCTTGCGCGGTGAAGTGGCGCAGACGCCCGGAAAGGTTCCAACGAGCGGCCCCCGCAGGCGGCATCACACCGCCCAGAAACGGCCGCGGGCCCGGGGAGCCCCTGAGAACACCCGCGACGTGCGCTCTGCTCCCACAGGAGGCACGCCCCGCGGCACCTCCGGCCGCGACACAGGAAGCTGGGCGGCCCCGCAGGTGCTGGGGCCACGGCGCGTCCCCAAGGCCGCAGGTGCTGCTGCGCCGCCGAGACCGGAATCCAGACGAACCCAACGGCACCTCCCAGGTGACAGAGGAGAAGCAACGTCTAAGCGCAGGGCCTACGACCATTATTGTTTTCCTTGTCACAAATTGTACCTTTCTTTTAAAAAAATATTGATTGATTGATTTTTTAAAGAGAGAGGAACATCGATTTGTTGCTCCACGCATTGGTGCAGGCACTGGTCGCTTCTGGTCCACGCCGTGACCAGGGATCGAACCGCAGCCTGGGCGCACCCAGGTGACACTCTCACCGGCCGAGCCCCGGCCAGGCCCGAGCGGAACCCCCCCACCTGCCCACGGACGCGTTGCCGGACGGGACCAGCCCCTGGCCATCCCGAGCTCTGGGGGAGCTGCCGGCGCAGCGACACTAATGATGTCCATCGACATCCAGGCGGGTCAGGGAGCAGGGTCGCTCGGTGGCCGCGCACAGGCAGAGAAACAAGAGCGCATCGCACCTCATCAGACTGAGGAAAAACTACTCACAACAGAAACGGCGTCACCAGCCACGGCGGACGTGGGAGCGCTGACCACGCGCCAGACACCAGGCTGAACCTTCTCCAGGGGCTGTGTCATCCCAGTTCCGCGACCCCCCAAGGAAGGCGCTAACAATCACCCCTGTTACTGAACAGGAGAAACTGAGGCACGGGGTCCCGAGACAGTTCCTGCCAAACCACAGCAGCGGCGGCGGCGCTGGGACCGGAATGCACGTGGGCGCGCCTCCGGACTCACCCAGGTGGCTCGCGGATCGGCCACACCGCGTGCACGCACCGCCTCCCCGCGCTCCCCTCCCCCGCGTCCCGGGGCGCGCGACTGCGCACGCGCGTGCCCGGCGGCCCCGCCGGTTTTGCCGGCTCCTCAGCGGCTCCCGGGCGGGGCGGGGCGCGGGGCCGGGGCTGGGTGCCCGCTCGCCCGCCCGCCCACAGCCGCCGCCCCCCTGCGCACCTTCCCCGCCCAGCGCGCGCGGCCCGGCGCGGCTACCTGGACCCCGGCGCGCCTCCCCTCGGCGTCCGTGGGAGTCCCGGCCCCGGACCGAGCGTGGTTGCGGGGCTGCGGGGCTGCGGGGCTGCGGGGCTGCGCGGCGGGCGGCCTCCCGCCCCAGTCCCAGCTCTCCGAATCGATCACTGCGCCCGCGCCCGCGCTCGGAAAAGGGGGGAACGGGAAGGAGCGAGAAGGCGGGAGGCGAGGCCGGGGGAGGGGCCCCCAGAGGAGGGGGCGCGCGTGACCGGCATCCCAGCTCCCGGTCGGTCCCGGGAGCCATGGCAACCACCGTCTCCGGTCCTCCGCGCTGCGGGGCTCCCCACGGCCCCCCACACCCGGCTTCTCCCCCGACACCGCGGTCCCCAGAGTCCCTCCTTAAGCCAGCAGCGTGTATGGACCCCCGCGGGGTCCTGGAATACTGTCCCGAGAATGGGGGCACCGCGGGGGGTGGGGGGCGGCGCCCCGCCACCCCGGAGACAGGCGGGGCGGGGTGAGGCGCGGCCTGGACGGACCGCAACCCAGCGGGACCCGGGCTCCCCGGAGAGAGGGCTGGACTTTCGAGGCGGGGGGTCCGGACCCCGCCGGGAGGCACGGGAGCGCGGGGTGGGGCAGGCTGGAGACCAGCCCGAGGGTCACCCGGCCCGTGGCCGGGCGGGGAAATGGGAGCTGGGGGGACCTGGGACCCGGCGCCGTCCCCGACGGACCGGCTGTCCGATGCAGCCCCAGCCCCCGGGGGCGCGGCTGGGAAAGGGCGTCCCTCTCCGGAAGGGCTGAGGGTCTGGGGTTACGATGAGCCCGGGTCATGCACCCTCTGCTGCCACAGTGGGGTGAGCACCCCCCACCGCGCCCAGGAGCAAACCCCGAGCCCTCCCTGCGTCCCACCCAGAGTTGGCCGGCGAGCTGGGCGACCCCGGGGCGCGCCGGACACCTGCCGACCCCTCCCCTCGGACACACCTGCGTTGCCTGTGGCACCAGGTCCGCCGGGCCCTCGTCCTGGGGTCTGGCTGCGAGCGGGAGACGACGCGCTGGTCTCGGTCCGGGCGGCGGCGCCCGAGTTCCCGGCAGCGCGGGCTGTGGCCGCGGGCGCGGAACCTGCTCGGGCTCGCTCGGCTCCGCGCCCTCCCGCGCCGGCTGCTCGCGCCTCCGCTGCGCCCGCGTCTGCGCCGCCGCCGCCCTGCGCTCCCCCCGCGGGATGGGGGCGGCCACGGCTTCGGGCTGCCGCCAAGAGCAAACTTTGACCGTCCCTGTCACGTCTGTGGCCACAGGAGGGGGGCTGCCGGCCGCGGCGCAGATGCAGATGGCGGGGGCCCCTCCCGCCGCCGGCTCGCTCGGCGGATCCGGGTGCGCTGGCCGGGCAGGCTCGCGCCGCGCTCGCTGGAGGGCGTGGTGCCGCCGGCCCGCAAATTCCTCTGCTCCCCCTGCGCCGCCCGGGCGCGGCGGGGCAAAGGACCCAGTTCGCGGAAGGGGCCGCCTCCATGGGCTGCCCACTTATCTCCCACACGAATCGGGGCACCTACCGCGGTTACCATTGAAAGAAAAATGTCCGGATACTTAGCCTCTCTAATGTCACCATATTGTTCCCTAACGGTGTTCCCGTGTGTTCCTGTCAATTCACTGCTTAGGGAGGAGGGCGGCCCCGCGCGCCCATTCCCTGTGCAGGGGCCTCTCCCCGCACCTCCTCGCGCCCCCCCCCCAAAAAACGCGCATTCTGTATTAGGGATCCACAATGATTTTGGAGGAGGGACTCTTTTGCAGTGTAAGTGACTCACAATCCCTTTCATTTGTTTCTCACCATGATCACATTTTCCAAAATTGTCACACCATACGGCTTAAAGAACAACATGCTGCGCAGTCCCCTTTGGGGGAAAGAGACCACAGAGGCCATTTTCACTCCACCAGGGCGGTGAGTAGCGGGGCCTCGAGGCCTGGCCTGTCCCCGCCGCTGGAGGCAGCTCCGGGCGGGGCGCGCGGCCTCAGCAGCGCCGGGGCGCGGGCCAGGATTCCGCGCCCGGAGCAGAAGAACACACATTTGAAAAGGAATGAATGGGCTTGTAGATCCCTGTCGCTGCCAACCCCGGGGCCGGGCTCGGCAGCCAGGCCGTGTGTGGGCTCGGCCCGCCCGCCTGCGCGGCACCTCGCAGAGGCGAGCGAGGGCAGGAGCGCCTGGCGGGTGCGTTGCGCGCCCAGGTAGCCCGGTCCCTGCGGCTTGTTCTCCAAAGGAGAAACAAGAGTGGGGCCCCGAATAACGTGTCAACAGGGAAGTCCGCGCGTCTGCAGGAAAACTGGCCCCAGGCCGAGCAGACAGGGCCTCGTCGGTCTCGGGAGCTGCACACCCTCCGCGGCAGGTCCGCTCAGCCCAGGCCCCGCCCCGCGCCGGCCGGCAGGCGGCGCTCACGCGCGCGGCCCTTCCTTTCTCCGCGGTTTGTCCCCTTCACCTTAGAGCAGGCAAAGGGATGCATTCACTGAGCACCTACTAGCGTCTGTCATGGTTCCAGGTACCCGGCCCAGTAGAAAACGCAATAGACAGAACCAGTCGCTTCTTTTTACATCAAATGTTCAAAATGTATCACGGACAACAAGGCGTAATACCTGCAGCGAAAAGAGGAAGCATCAGTCCTTGCCTATGGGAGCCTGAGGACGTGGGGAACCAGCAGCCCCGCAGAGAGCGCGCGGCTCCAGCGCCCTGAGGTGGCCCGGACCCCCCACACCCAGCCCCGCTGGGCAACTGGGACGGGGCGGGGGCGGGGGAGAAAAAAGGAAGAAGGGAAGGGGGAGGGAGGGGGAAGGGAGGGGGGAGGGAGGGGGAGGGAGGGGGAGGGAGGGAGGGAGGCAAATCATTAACCAAGAACGGAAAACAGTATTTGAGAGAAAGACGGAAAAAGTCCTTTCGCCAAGGAAAGGACATCATTTTAAAGGAATGCGAAGTGGAGGCGGATGACTTCGGCTGCCACATCCAAACGCACCTCCCAGTTGTCACCGCCAAGGACAGGCTCCTTCTTCTGACTGTGCAGGGCAGTCACCGAGGGGGCAGCGGGGGCCCCCCCGGGCGCCCCGCCCCTCGGGCCCGGTGTTCGGGCCCTCCCTCCTACAGGCCCTCGGCCCTCAGCGCTGCAGGGAGTCCCGGCTCCCACCTGCCCCGTGGGCATGGGGCCGCCTTAGCTTTGAAAGGTGCGGATTCATCTCCCCCAACTGAGGGGGCCACTCAAAATAAAAATAGTTTCCAACCACAAAGGAACGGGAGACCAGGCTCCTTCACGCACAGAAGCAGAGGGTGAGAGAGGCCAGGCATCCAGGGAAAAGGGAAGGAATTCAGGACGGGGGCCACGTCGGGCTCGCCCTGCGGCTTTACGGCCGCCCCGCCCGGGGCGGCGTCCGGTGCCCCTCCCAGAGCGCGCCTGGCACAGCCAGGGCCGCCTCCAGCACAGCCAGGGGCCTGCGCTCTGACATCATCCCCGGAAAGCTGTGCAGCAGGAGGGCTGTCGTTTGGAAATGCCGTTCCGTCTAGCGGGTCCCCTCTCACAGCCCCGCAGGTTGCGGGCCAGCTGGCACAGCTCCGGGGGGGCGGGCGGAGCGGCCGCCTGGGCGGCACAGAGAGGCCCCTGCAGCCTCGGCGCGCACAGCGCCAAGGGGGGCTGTTCACAGCGGAGTCAGCCTGGCAGTCAATACCCCTTTAACTCGTCCTTTAATGGAGGAACAAAAGGACGTGCATTAAAATCAAAGGGCGATGCTTCTGGAACAAATAAAGACGTGAAAGCTTGTATTTTCTGCGGCAGATCATCAATATGTGAGGGGGCCTTGGGAGGCCAGGAAACCAGATACTGTCACCGGACTTTAAAGGAGCGAGGTAATGCTAGGGTTGCTGTTAACATTAACTAGGCTCACAGAAACACGCCGATGCCAAGCCTGTCGCCTCGGACGCCGCGGGCTCTCCTGGACCACTTCCTGCGCCCACGGCCACCTGCCCAAAGCTGCACCCCCCAGCCTCCCCTCGACCAAGCCTGGCCCAGGGCTAACGGGACACGAGGAGACTGGCCGCTGGCTGCTTTCGGGCCACCCACTCCCCGGCGACCTTGCCTCCCTGCTGTGCTCCCGGCCAGCCACCCCGCGGCGGGGACGGGAGACCCCCCCCGCCCCGAGTGCCCAGGCAGCTCTGCACCAGGGCCCTCTCGTCACCAGGAGCTGACCTCCTCTCCCCTTTCAGCCAGTGCCTTTGGACCCTCTTCATTGCGCCTGCTTAGCCCTCCTCCTAATTAACGCAATTACAATCCCTGTCATCCGAACAACTTAGAAGAGTCGACAAAAGCAACAGTGGGTAGATCTCTGTCTTTTGTTCGCCCAGCACCTCCCTGCATTCTTGCAGCTCGACCTGCCCCCCCTACAAGGCCTCCACTGGGGGCTCCCCGGCAGGCCCTGGGGCAGGTGTGTGCCGTTGGCGAGTCCGGCAGCATGTCCGTCCCGTCTGCGGGGCTGGGAGCCACGAAAGGCCTCGGACTCGGACTCGAGGGAGCCGCTGACAGAGCTGCCCCGGCCGCGGCGGGAGCGCTCGGTGTGGGGAGCTGTGGATGCTCAGCAGGCAGGGCCCTCCACCCTGGCCGCGCAGGCGCCCAGGAACAAAGCCCAGGGGGAGGAGGACACAGGCAGCTCGCCCTCCCCCATCACGGGAGCGGAGAGTCCCCTGTCAGACGAGAGCTGGGGTGGGGCTGCATCTTGACTCTTCCGCCTGGGGAGCGAAATCTGTTGAAGCTGCAACAGTCTGAATCGGTTTTCTGGTCCCTGTGACCACGTTTACTCTCTGCAGGAGCCTCCGCGTGCCTCTTCTGTGGGGACAGGCAGTTTTGTGAAGGGTGGCACCCCCAAAACGACTTCCTTTCAGGAGGTGACCATCTAACTGGCAGCGACCCCTGAACTGTGCGTGCGTTCAGTGGGAAAGGACAAAGGGGACTCCTAATGACGTCTGTCGCTGATACTATGTGAGGGACGGGCCCCCGTCGTAGGGATTCGCCGTCTCTGGGCTGAGGCACTCTCAGCCCGACGTCGGCATAAACCGCGACGTGTGCGGGGACTGTCTTTCTTCACATCACGATATAACGGTGAATTCTTTGTGGGCATATGTTTAGCATTCTTCATAAGCGCCGTGGGCCCATTAACCCTCTCCGCGCAGTGTTTAGGGGCCATAACTCTCGCCTTCAATTGGCTTTTATTTTTCCAGCACAGTAAACACACTCATCAGCAGGCACGCGTTTGACCCCAAGGCGCTGGTGGGTGACGCTCCGCGTTGACACAGGCCGAGCCTCAGCTTCTCACAGGCGCTGCGTGGGGTTCACTTTCTTTCCGGGGTTAAGTGAGACCGAGGAGTCTCTTTGTTCATGTTGCTTCTCAGAATGTGGTTGACGGACAAACCAACGAAGCGTCCAGAACACGGGGCCCAACCCGGCGCCACACACGGCCAGGGCCTGCGCCTCCGGCTCGGCCCACCGCCAAGGTCTGCCCTCTCCTGCCCGCAGCGCCGCTCCACCGCCGGCCCTGCCTTTTCCGCCTCTCACGCCCGTGGTGTCTGCCGGCGCACGCGGAAGCCCTGCAGGGCACACGGGCAGGCAGGGGTTTCGGGGGACGCTGGTATCAACAGCCCACAGACAGCGCCTCCTCCAACGGCAGCGCGCACGCTCTCAGGCTCCTTGTCCTGCGGCGCGGTCCACCCGCGCCGACACACGCGGGAAGCGAGCGGGTGCGGCGCCCTGACTTGCGTGACGAAGTCATCTCAAAAGTTTTATAAAAGCTAATGTCTCAACTGTGTTTACAAGAGGAAATTTAACGACAAAAGTCTGCAGCATTTCACAGTCCCTAAAACATTATGACACGTATCCAAAGGAGACGTGCAGAAGCTACGTAATAAGCAAAATGGGTGTTAAATGTAGATGGCGAAAAACAAAGAACAGAAATCAAATGAAACAAGCTGATAATATTTTTGTTAACGAGAAATAAACAAAACAGCAAAGCCCACCTATAACTGCATGACCCCGCCTTGGATGCCATTTTAGGCACGATTCATTCCTGTGACTG